ACAGAAAGTGCCACAATATTCTAAATATAGGGGGAAAAAGTAAGCAAAGAAGTCAGAAATAAAATGCTCGTGGGTTTCTGTTTTTCAGATGGAGTCTCCCCCTCTGTCGCCCAGGCTAGACTACAGTGGCGCAATCTTGGCTCATTGCAACTTCCATCTCCTGGGTTCAACCAATTCTCCTGCCTCAGCCTCCCAACTAGCTGGGACTACAGGCATATGCAACCATGCCCAGCTAATTTCTTTTGTATTTTTTAGTAGAGAGAGGTATCACCGTGTTGTCCAGACTATCTCAAACTCCTGAGCTCAGGCAATCCAGCCACCTCAGCCTCCCAAGGCTCATGGGTTTTTGATTTCAGGGGAAAAAATGTCTGCCCATTCTAAATTCTTTTCATCCAATTGATAAAAGGCCTCCTACAAGGAATGAAATTCAAGAGGGCAGTTCATTTAAGAAATACATAAAATCTGGTATTTTTCCTCCAACAGCAGTACAAATCAGTTCTGATTTACAGTTACTAGATTACTACTGTAATGACAGTAGAAAAACAAGTTTACTAAAGAAGTAAAAATTGTAGCATTTTCTACAGAATTCTGAATTGCCTACTTTTCTCAGTTACAATCAAAGGCCAAACAGAATGAACTAATAGATCCTAATAGAACTAATACAAGAATATGCCAATGGCAGCTGGCTCACGCCCGTAACTCCAACACTTTGGGAGGCCGAAGTGAGATCACTTGAGCCCTGGAGCTCAAGACTAGCCTCGGCAATATGGTGAAACCTCATCTTCACCAAAAATACAAAAATTAGCCAGTCTTATAATCCAGTCTCTAAATAAAAATTTAAAAGTAAAGTTAAAATTATTTTTAATCATCTGTCAACTTGATTATAAATTAAAAAAAATTTTTTTTTTTGAGACGGGGCTTCGCTCTTGTTACCCAGGCTGGAGTGCAATGGCGCCATCTCGGCTCACCACAACCTCCGCCTCCTGGGTTCAGGCAATTCTCCTGCCTCAGCCTCCTGAGTAGCTGGGATTACGGGCATGCGCCACCATGCCCAGCTAATTTTTTGTAGTTTTAGTAGAGACGGGGTTTCACCATGTTGACCAGGATGGTCTCGATCTCTTGACCTCGTGATCCACC